TTAAAACACTTTAACACAACAAAAACATGAAACCGAGAAGAAGCACCCATCTGCCGAAACAAATTCAGAGAGGTCAGTCCACGTATTACATTGGTCATGTCATACGAGAACCAGGCTAATATGGTCCTTTGAAGAAAGAATCATACAGATGTGAGTGGACAACTTAGTACTTTTTAGGATTCCGTACCCGAAGGGTAACCAGCAGGGCCCTATTACGGAGCCTCCGCTGTCCGTGTGTCTGTCTGTCAGCGGGCTGCATCTTATGATCCGTAATAGGTAGATGGTTGTAATTTTCACAGAACGTGTATTTCTGTTGCCGCTATAACAGCAAGTGGTAAAAATAAATTTGATATTAAAGGATTTTCTACTAGAAAAAGAAACGTGTATTTTTGGCTTTTTTTTGATCGATAGTAATATGTATAGGTATTTAAATCTTGTCATCTCGGAAGCTCGGAAGTCCGATTCGCACTTGGCAAAATATTTGTTTACCCCTGTTTAACCTTACCTCAGACATACTCATATTTTTATATACTTATAATTTACTATACTACTATATAAGCTACTACTAAATAAAATAGTAGTAGCTTTGCTATGGTATTATAGTATATTTTGGGTTAGATTTAATTTATTACAGAATAATATGAACTATATAAAAACTAAGGAGCGCATTAACCTACCTTAGATATTGGGTTATGAATACAGATAAGTACACATAGGATTTAGTTCGTTATGAATTGCATAAACAGGCCAAGCCCCCTAGTCTACAAACTTGCCTACAAACGTTTCGTAACGAATCTCTTTCTACAATCGCGCCTTTTATTTGTTTGGACTGACCACCTGACTCGTTCAGTGATGCCATTCCCATACCTACAGTGTTTAGTTTTCAACTAGCGTTATCAAACATAAAATACATCAAAATTTTATTCATATTACGATAATTGTGTCTGTACTGTGAATTTGATTTACAATCGATCTCTAAATTGTAGTTTTCTCCTAATTACTTACCTTGCCTAGACGTGTTCTTTGGACTTGTGTAAGGAAGTCTGTACGGTTAGTATTCCGTTTATATACGTTACTATTTTGATAGACGTTTGTGCTTGTCCCTGCAGTGACACAATGCCTATTGTTGATAACTTTCTAAGTACTAAGAGAATATTTCAAACCGCTGTTGAACACAAACAATCAATAAACAATTTACAAACTAACATTTTTTATTTATTTAATTAACCTATTTAAAAGCCCCACTCACATCAAAATCGCGTTGTCGAAAAAGCAGTTATCCTGACACTGGCTGACATATACTTCGGGGAGTTGCCTGTGGGCTATAATAGCTAACTAACTATGAAAAGTAAATACCTATTTAGAATACATAGTACCTACAGTAATATTTGCATAACCTACAGTAAAATACAAAAACATAAAGAAAACATAATTATGTTACACTTTTTTGTGTTTGTTTTAGAAATTGTTATATTTTTTCAAAGAAAGTTTTTTATGTTACCGTTTTTAGTTGAGAGTTATGTCCCTTTAGTGGGTACAGGCGTGATATTATATATTGTGTGATTGTGTAAAGAATGCATAGATAGGCGATAGCAACAATCGCGGTTGATTTGCTGTCATTTATTGAAGAGTGCCCCCGATTTCTCCAAGATCCCATCATCAGATCCTGATCTGACCATCATCGATTACCGTGGGATTATCTGGAAAATATATCCTTTCAAACAAAAAAATAATTTTCCAAATCGGTTCAGGCTTTAGGCATCTTCGAGAAATCGGGGGACAGAACATACATAAACAAAAACCAACGAATTGAGAACCACCTCCTTTTTTTGAAGTCGGTTAAAAAGTAGGTAAAAACAAATCAATGAAATTATTATATAATAACAACATCTACTTAAGTTCACATAAGAACTTTCATAATAACAACTAAGTACATATATTGGGTTCATAATAATTACGTTTCGCACAGCAGATCCTAAGTTATAATAACACCAATTTGTTTTTTCTCTCCTTTCTCTTTTTAAAATACGTTACCCCCACAGTAGGATTTTCTCCAGTATCGTGGAGGCAGTTTACAAACATAAATTGCACAAGGACAAACATCCAGACCCGGAACAACTATTTGTTCCGTGCGGGATTCGAACCCGCGGCGCCCAGCGCAGCCTCATTGCTAAGCTACTGCGATACGGAGCTCAAATTGCCGTTTGAGTTTATGTTATTATTCAAAAATGAATCGCATAGGTAGGTACGCGATAACGCCGTCTCGCATTGCGTCACTCGAGTGCGTATGTGTGTGCGCACTAGCTTCTTACTGCTCATCACAGCGTCTATCCCTTTCGCACGTGATGTCGGCTGAGATAGCATGCATTTTTACCCCGCCCACCACTTAGTTTGTGCCATCGACTAGGGAGGGCAACCTTAAACGTACTAGTTCAAAAATCATGTAAATTCAAAAATTTTATTTTTAACTTGTACATTCTTCTAAAAACGACATAAATTAATGGAAGAGCGTTGCTCCCTGATACAGGCTTATTAGCTTAAAAGGGCGCTACGGTCACTAGTATAATATAATGTACCCATTGTTTTGAAATAAATATTTATTATTATTTGGGGTATCTATATAGTTTTCTCATCTGGTTGGGTTATATAAATATATAATTATAAATTAAAATGAAACGATAAATATACATAAATATCAATAAAATAAAATAAATACAAAAATACATAAATAAATAAAGGCCCAACCAGATGGAAGCCCTCGGCAGGGGAGACCAAACGGCCGAGGGTTAGGAGGAAAGGGAAAGAAATCGGCGGACGATGCGGGCGGTATCGAGGAGCACCGCCTTTTGCATTTGAGTCCGGAGCGGTCCGTCACGGTGTCCCAGTCGCCTCAGATGACCCGAGAGGCTGACTGGGATTAGCCCATTCGCAGAGACGACTACAGGAATAATTTCGGCCGGCAGACCACCCCACATATCGGTCACCTCGTGAGCCAATTCCAGATATTTTGTTCGTTTATCTGTTTCGGCTTTCATTTTATTATTATTATTATTATTATAAATGCAGAAGGCGGTGCTCCTCGATACCGCCCGCATCATCCGCCGGTTCCTTTCCCTTTGCCCCTAACGCTCGGCCGTTTGGTCTCCCCTGCCGAGGGCTTCTATCTGGTAGGGCTTTTATTTATTTATTTATGATACTTAGTGTATTAAATATATATATATATATCATTTCCTTTTATTTATTTATTCAGCCCAACCAGATGAGAATACTCTATGAATACCCCGGATAATAATCAATTGAGGAGTGTATTGGAAGAGACGATTGTGGAAACGCGCAGTACGCCTCTCGAAAATCGACCGCGACTTTCCCACGTAGCCCTGAGCAAACGGAATCTGTCATAAGGGCTCTGAACCCAATGCTGGTACCTATTTGGAAGCCAGCCGGGATCTTTGCGAGACGGACTCAATTTTTTTTTGATGCCGCACTGGCAGTCTGCCGTATTATAGTCGCCAAACTTTCCGCGGCTGGACACGCTATTGCACAAAGTAGCGCTATCCCAACCTGGAGAATAGGAATTGAAGAACGTATCGCAAAGCACTTTCTGAGACAAATGTCATTTTGTCCCAGTCGGATATAACGCAAAAACTGACGGAGCGCATAGACGACCTGAATCAGAGAATCGCTACTTGGGGAAAGCGGATTCGGCGATACACCGATAGGTCGACACGGTTCAACCAGAATCGTCTCTTCCAGAGTGATCAGAAGAGGCTCTATAAATAATTGAAGCGACCAATGGTAAGTGGAATGGCTCTAGCACTGATTCAGGCCGACACTGTCGCATTTTGGCGCGGCATGTGGTCAGAGCCCGTAAACCACAATAGAGGCCCTTGTACGGAAATTGTTGCGAGTCAGTGTGCGACTATTACGCTCTTGGACCCCGTCATCATAATGCCGGATTACGTAGCTGACGTGGTCCGTAGGGCCCCGAACTGGAAAAGTCAGGGACTCGACGAGCTGCGTCACTACTGGCTGAAGGGGTTCATGGGGTGTCACGCTGTGCTCGCCCGACAGTTTCAAGAGGCTGTGAAAGAGTAGTCGCTCTCTAACCTCTTCACTACTGGGATCACTCATTTGGTTCCTAAGGACCAGGGTACCACAGACCCGAGAAAATAATGCCCCATCACGTGTCTACCGACCATATACAAGACACCAAGACCCATATTGAGTGCGAGAATCACTCGTCACGTGGACTTAAATCAGGTGATGCCGCGCGCTCATAATGGATGTCGGAGCGGTGGTCGTGGAACCAAGGAACCACTCCTTATTGACGCGATCATTGGAAAAGTGGTAAAACGTAACCGTCAGAACTTTTCCGTCGCCTGGATAGACTGCAGAAAGGCATTCGATTCGGTTCCCTATACATGAATAAAGAAGGTCCTCGAGCTGTACAAGATTGACTATACAGTAAGAAACTTCCTCGAGCAGTGTATGGGGCATTGGAGTACGATATTTTTCATCTGGGCGAGAGATATTGGACCGTGCAAAGGGCTGCTGCCGGCTGCTGCTGGAGATCGCCAGGGCGCGTCTGAAGCTTGCGCTGGATGCGACAGCGTGCGAACCGCCAGGCGAGATCGAGGTGCTGCACGACCACCCAGCAGCCCCTCACATCCATCATCCCCACCAGTTTTTTTGGTGCCGTCAGGTTCTTCGCAAGCCCAGTAATCGGCACCCGCCACTGTTGGAATACACCGCATGCGACGGACAATAAAAATTAATACCAACACATTGCGGGTGTATTTTAGGGCGAATGGGAGAGAATTCGAGGTTTTGCGTATCGGGTTAGAATACATCGCCTTTTTGCTGAGCCGGAGCCATCTATAACCGTCACAGAGCAAAACCTGACAGACCAAGTTCGGTATATCTTGCCTTCAAATATATTTGATGGTGCCGAACTCGAACGGCTACGACGTGAGACTGTTTCTTCTTCACATGAACATGCTATGGCTGAGAATGCGTTGCCACAAGCAGAACAACCCGCACACGTGGATGCTGCCGTAAATACTCCAGTTCAGGTTGATTCAAACGATGATGGAGTCGACCAGGAACTAGAACTAGAGCAAATGAGGAGTACATTGAAAGATTCGAAATTTATTAGGTATAAAAGTCGTTGTGGAAATGCGCAGTACGCCTCTCGACAATCAACCGCGACTTCCCCAAATAGCCTTAAGATATCGGAATCGGGCATCGTTTTTGGCGCCGCATTGGCAGTATGCCGTATTATAGGCGCCAAGCTTTCCACGGCTGGACGCGCTACTGGACAAATATCCTATATCCCAGCCTGGAGAATAAGAATTGAGGAACATATCGCAAAGTCTAGGGCGCTCATAGGCAGACTGATATGCTTCAGATTAGCCAATAACAGGCCAAGGATCCTGCTCACAAGCAGGATGAAGTTGGCTGGGACAAATGTCAGTTTTGTCCTATCCCATTATGTCTTACCATATCTTATCCAATTTGTTAAAAACCGTTACCTTAGGAGATTTTTCTATTTCTTATAGTTGTTTTGATTACATAAATTGGCACAAGTATATAGTTATCACTCAAAGACTCATATTTGCGCCTCTTACTTAATTCAGCTGCCTCTGATGCCGCCCCGGCTCTAAACAAGGTATCCTTTAGATTAGAGACCGCCAATGTGTCTATAGTATCTCACACTAGAGCTTTATTTCTCTCTAAAGGGACAAAAGTCATACCGTTGGGTCTCTTGCCATCGTCTCTTATTCTTAATACTCCGCAGTAAAGCACGGGTCTACTATATTATTTAAAATTATGTTACATAAGTCATTGACACTATGCACGGAAGCAAGCAAAGCAAGCAATGCAACACTAAAAAGATTTATTACATCAATACCACCTAATTATATGGGTAAAGTAGTTTGCGTCCAGGCTGTTTAATTTAGAATTTTTCTATAGCAATTTTAAGATTATTATCAATATATTTTAAAATTTCCGAACGTTCATTTCCAGACTGTACTTGGGCGCATTATTTATATGTAGGTATAATTATTATTGTAATATAGGTATAATTTATAAGGTATAAAATTTTAATATTTTGTCTATATTTTAAAATAGTAAGAACAGTTTGATTGTTTAAGATATACAATTATTTATCAACGTGGTTTAAAAACTGATCAAATTTTGTCATTCAATCATAAAACACGGTGCACCTAGCAGGTATAGCTATTCCGAACTGACAGTTTTCATTCCTGGAGAAATATGATTGAAATTCTGAATTAAAGTATCTCTGCTAAAACTAGTTAAATTATGGGAAATTAATATTTCACATTTATTGCTCTCAAGACCAATTTTTATATAATTTTCGAAAATATGAGTAAATAATTAAATTTAATAATTAAATTAGTAGATAATATAATTTAATTTTGATGTTTAGGCCGAAAAACAGTTTTAAGTTTGATTTTTATTGGTGTCAGTATATTTACAGGCTGAAGGCATTTCATCTTAGTTCTCAAAAGTGACAACGCGTCTTGTAGCCTTTTTGTTTGAAGTTCGTTGCAGGTGTCCATGAGTTGTTTAGCCATTTATCATCAGGTGGACTGGACTGTAAGTTAGCATTTGTCACAACAATTTTCTGAAAGAATTAAAAAATGAGATGCGTTTGACTACAATAAGCTATGACATCATTTACTATTATGCCCTTACAATTTCTAGAATATTTCGTTTAAAAAGTCTCAAAATAGAATTTTATTGATATGAGTATTAAGTACCTCATTATATACATACTACATATGTAGGTACCTTTATGTCCCAAAATAAAATCAGAATCGTTTTATCTTCACCGATCGATTATTAAGTAGGGGTTGAGAACCGTTTTAGATATTCTAAAGCCATTTGCCCGAACGGGTTCATTTTAACTAAATACGCATTACTTCATGCACGCATTTCTTTTGACATGAATTGATTTAAGTAGATGATCTCATCTCATATATATGTAAGCCGAAAGCAAATGAGGCAAAAAACTGATGTGAGACTCTATATGCATAAACATTGTTGAACTTCTCATCTTTCTGATCTTTCTTCTTTACTAACAGGTATGATAGGGACCGGTGCAGAATGCGAGGCTGCTAAATCGAATTGACTAAGTGGCACAAATGAGTCTCGAAGATGTATAATAACTATAGGTTATTTTTCAAACAGCCATTTTAACCACACCGCACCAACACAGCAGCCACTGTGACGCGGCGCGTCGGTCCGCGCGTCTTTTCCTCATAAATAGCATACATAACAATAGTAAGTTAAGTAAAATAATTAGATTTCTTTGAATAATACAAATTTTATGATCTTGAACGCATTATTTTTGTAACATTTTTTAATTTCCGACGTTTCGATTGCTTTACCTAATTCACGGTCGCGTGGCAAAAGGAATTAAAAATAAATTAAATTAAACGCGGTAAAATCTTTAAGACAAGTTCTATTCGATAACTAGCTATGCCCCTCGACTTCGTCCTCGAATTTATTATGATTGAATTTCATGAGTTTTAATTTTTTTCGCGGAACCCTAATTATTTTTCTGAAATAAAAGTAGCCTCAGTTACTCCTTATAACATCAGCTATCTGTCAGTGACAGTCCCGTCAAAATGGGTCCGGCCATTTCGGAGAATAGCCGGAACAAACAGACAGACAACAATTTAAAAAAATATTTTTGTTATAAGTACTGTATATACTTTTGTAATATGCATTTAGTAAAAAACCAGTTTTTTTGACATTACAAACAGACCCTTCAATATTATTTATTTGTACGGATTTATAGTGTTCGTGTAAATATACTAATTAATTGAATAATTAGAATTCATATCAATTTATTGAGAATCCAGACTAAAATCGACATTCTTTGTTGATTTGATGTTGTTTTTCCACATTATGTTGTTCAGTGAGTTGAATTGTTTGTATTCTTATTTTAAAAATAAACACCATCACAGTGCACGGACAATTAAAATATAAAAAAGGATTTTCATTAGGTATGTAATGCCTATATAAACACATTAAAATATAGACATATATTTATTTGCTATAACGTTGTGATACAAAAGTTTTCATCATCTGAGCTTTGAATTCTTAGTCTAATCACGCACTCCATCAGACGCAAACATACCTAATACCCTCCAATATCTAGGTAGTTTCATAATATCTCTGAAGCGGTAGAGCCACGCGGCAGCTATTGCTGTCACACGGATGGGTCGGCTCGAACCGGGGTGGTACCAGGACCTCACAGAATACCAGCGTGAAGTAGAAGTTTACTTCGTTTGGTGAGTGCACGTGGCCGCAGGCCCATTCACCCTTCCCTCCTTTTAACATGGTAGTGAAGTTAAAAAAGGCACTACTCCAGGAGGGTACCAGCACCCCTGGTGTTGGATAATTGCTCTCTGTGCATCCACGCCCAAGCTACCCTCTTCTTTTAGCTAGTCTTCGCCTCGCAGTACAAGACTACACAAAATGCTATCGAGAGCTAAACCTTATCAAATTGGGCTTCTTAATAAACCTGATGGTAACTTCACTAATATTGAAACAGAAACATTGGAGTTACTAACGTCAACCCATTTCCCAGGGTCACACAAGATTTCAACCTTGAATTCTTTCAGAATCCTACAAAGGCCTTGTAATAAGGACTGGTAAAGTGGGCTGTTGACTCCTTTAAACCATTTAAAACAAGCGGGGAGGATAGAATAATTCCCATCCAACTATAGAAGGGTATCGACATCCTTCTTCCCTATCTGGTGAAAATCTTCAGAGCAAGTTTTACATGCGGATACATTCCAGAACGATGGACAATTGTCAAAGCTCTATTTATACCTAAGGCTGGTAGAAGAACTACCTCTACCTCCTTGACCTAAGCCTATCTTCCTTTCTCGATATATAGATATATAAGGGATGTAGCTCTAGCTACGAGGCCCATACCTTACAACCAGCATGCTTACCGCAGAGGCAAATCTGCGGAAACATCCCAAATCAGTGTCACATTGACAGGGTCGAAAAAGCACTGGAGGATAAAGAAATAGATCTTCGTGCCTTTCTAGTTATTGAGGGCGTCTTCGACAGTAGCCCCATCACTGCTGTTTGGGGGCCTGACATCTAAAAATGTTGACCCCACAACTATCGGATGGGTGAAGTCGATACTCTCAAACAAAAGGCAAAAATAGCGCTGTTTCAAACTTCGATTGAGGTTGCAACTACAAGAGGCTGCCCACAAGGAGGTGTTTTGTCACCTCTTCTTTGGACTCTTGCGGTTGACCAACTATTTTACAAAATGGCAGATCTACGCATTGACACACTAGGTTATGCTGAAGACCTTGTGATAATTGCGAGGGGCTTTTGCCAAAGTACTTTATGTCAATAATACAAAGAACCCTAAACACCATAAATAACTGGTGTAGGGATAACAGTTTATCAATTAATGCTGATAAAACTGTTATTTGCCCTTATTATTATATATATAGTTATTTACCCTTTACCAAAAAGAAACGGTTGGATAAATTAGTACCACTAAAACTTAATGGTAAAGAAGTATCATTTTCCACTGAAGTTAAGTACTTGGGCGTAACAATCGACCAAAAAATAATGTGGAACTTTCACCATAGCAATGTCTGCCATAAGGCAAAAGTTGCTTCGGGTACGTGCAGTCGTTTGGTCAGGAACAACTGGGGCTTGCGTCCCGTTATGGTCCTATGGCTGTACAGCAGCATAGTGAGGCCGATTATATCTCTCTATTGTCTAGCGAAACAACGACTGCGGACAGACTAAATAGTCTACAAAGGACCGCATGTTTAATGGCAACTGGAGCTACGTGATCATTGCCTGGAGCGGCTCTTAATGCTCTTCTATGCCTAACGCCCCTTGATCTTTATCTAGACAAGGAGGCGAGGGCTAGTCTGTATAGGATTAACGCCCAGGGCGGTCTAAGCTTGCTGTCCTGCAGAATCTGCTCCTGTATAAGAAACACCGGTCTTATACATGATCTCAGATATCGTGCGCCCACTACACACTTGATAAAAAGTATGTAGTGGAATCACCCTCCAGAGAATACTGGCTGAATGGCCAGGTTATCTATGAGGTCGGTAGCCTCGCAAGCCTAATTAGCCTCTAAAAACTACGCGTGCTCAGCAGAGCGGGACAGTATTCCATGCAGTATAGTATTAAGTACAGGTTTACAAGTCGTAGGTTCGGCCTCACATGGAATACTGTCCCCATCTCTGGACTGGGGCTCCCCAGTGCCAGCTCCTTCTACTTGACCACATACAGCGCATAGCAGCTCGACGACCGAGTTCTTTCCGATCAGCTCGACTCACTAGCGCTGCGAAGAGATGGTCCATCCTTTTGCATTCGCTATCGTACTTAACACGGTGAGTACTCTGGGGAATTGTTCGGATTAATTCCAGCCGCCTAATTTCATCAACGCACACTATTCAGACAAAACTTACGTTACCATCCAAATCATCTGCATGCTTGACGGTCTACTACTGTGCGATTTACTAGGAGTTTTCTTCCTCGCACGACTACTTTGTGGAATTGTTTATCACCGGCAATTTTTCCGGACCGATACGACTTAGGGACCTTCAAGGAACGAGCTTACTACTTTTTAAAAGGCCGGCAATGCACCTGCAATTCCACTGGCATTGCAGTTGGTTATGGGCAGCGGTCGACACTTTCCATCAGTTGAGCCGCATGCTCGTTTGCCCTCTCTGCTATTCAAAAAAAAAGTGATCCCATGAATACACGGTTTTGAGGTTCGTGCTTTATTTTATAGTATTCGTGTATTCGTGCATTTTATTGACATTGTGCAGAGACTCGGAGACCCTTTTTACTGAAAATGAGGCATTGTATCTTAGTCATCAGGGGCGACAATGCATATGCATTTTGATAGATGATGGTATTTATGGATCACAGCGAGAGAAGGAAAATCTCTGCCTAATTCTGCTTCCAAACAGCAAACCAGTCTTTGTGTTCTAATTGAGTATGAGGTACGAGCGTTGATATATATGTACTATGAACTAGACTTCGCATTCAGAACACTCACTATGTTCAACTGAAATGTACTGCAATCTGTACACCTGTTGTTGTGGCTTCGGCTTTCATGCAGTGCGGAGCGGCGCTAATAATAATTTTGTATTAAATTAGAACACATGCAAAATAAACGAAAATTTAAAAAAATGTACTCGATTTAAACAATTATTTATTGAAACAATTATTTATTGAGACAATTTTCGCGCGTTTATATCAACTGCGCATGCACGACTCTACTGTTTCCCGCGCATGCGCGAAGACAGAGTAGTGCACATTTTTTGTTCGGAATAGCTTCTCTAGTACGTAGTACATAATATAACTCAATGAGTATGAGGTATTAAATTCCATTTAAGTCGTCAGAATGACCGCGTAGTGGTGTGAGAACATTCACTACGTCAGGCGCGACGGAGCGAAAGAAACCAGAAGATGAATAGCAGCGTCTTCCTAATAACCACTAAAAAATGAAAAACTTCAGTAGCCAACCGACTTGTCAAGAATGGTAACAATGGCAAATGACGCAATACGTAAATAGTTACACTGTAACGGTAAGTTGTCAGAATTGATAATGCACGCGTAGTGCCTTCCAGGACTCCATTTACTCCATGTACAATGATATGCTAGATGGACTGCGAACTCGTTTGTTAATCTGTGATTTAGGAGAGACCTTGTGGACTGATAATACATGTAGGTAATAGTGATATTGATAACAATGATGTTTAGTGGTTAGCTTATATACAGGGTTAAACAATAATATATATATATATATATATATATATATATATATATATATATATATATATATATATATAATGATATACCGTTATTGCATACACACACACGCCTGTCACCCATAGGGGTAGGCAGAGACTACATACTTCCATTTGGCGCGATCCTGACACACCACTCTCGCCTCCTTTACATTCATATATCTACGCATACACGCTCGTCGGTTAAGGGTATTCCTAGCGGGAAATGAGTCGCTCGCATCCGTAGACTTCGAGCATCTAACCCTAAGCTCACAGCCTACAAAGCCGAAAGAATAGAGTCGCTCCTCGCCGTATTGTAGTGGCTTAAAGTCTACTACCACATACACTAGTTCGCACCATGAGGCATAAAATTAAATAATCCCAAATTGAATGTTATTTATTGGCAATAACGTTTTTGCCTACCAATAGACCCTTACGGGTTTTGTGCGTACGCAATAAAATCATTAACAATAATGCATTACCACGCATTTTGAATTTAAAGAAAAAGAAATTTAAATTTTCATTTTTGAGATAAAAAGGACAGAATGCTTGAGATTTTTTAAATTATTTTTTGTACTATTTGCTAATATTACTTATTCTGAACCTTTACTGCAAATTTGGCTGGTTATTACAAAATAACCCCGTATATAAGCATATTAATTTGTACATTCTACATATCTAGCTATTGATATAAAAAATGCAATATTCACTTTTAGCGTTTTTCGTCAGCTTATTAAGTCACGATGCCAGACTGGACATGGCTTCTGCTCGCGGCGCTGTTCGGGGCTTTCTCTGCGTTGGCGGTACCCGTGGCTATCCTGGTCTATTTCCTGCGGCCGTTTGAAAAGAAACCACTCATGGAGGAACAATGTACCACGCCAGTCACTTTGCCTCCTGTAAGTATTTCTTAATGTACAACTTAATATTAATTGATTTGTCTCTGAACATAAGTACTATACGAATGAGTCGAACGGGGAAAGACCACCCTATTAGATTATACCACTGTAATATGGTGGGTGTACCATGGAAGGCCACTCTAACAAATAAACAGTTATTATTACTTTATTTACTTGATAAATGAAACTAACAAATATTTAAGTAATACTTTGTTTTATTACGTAACATATAAACCACTTTTTTAAATTGCAGATTTAATCAATATTGATTGAACTTAAGTTTCATTGAACTCTTCCAAATGGCCTTGCTAGGAACAAGGCTTCTTAGAAGGCCATTATAATAAATCAGTCATTTAACACTAAAGTTTAATAAATAGCGATTAAATCTACAATAAAAAGAAGTGGTTTATATGTTACGTAATAAAACAAAGTATTACTTAAATATTTGTTAGTTTCATTTATCAAGTAAATAAACGAATAATAACTGTTTATTTGTTAGAGTGGCCTTCCATGGTACACCGGCCTTATTTTAACGTCGTCGATTCCCGAAATCAATGAAGCGAGATATCGTATTGCCAAAATAGTAGCGCGAGCGATTCGCCGCCGCGTCTGTGATTTTCAGTTCGATGGGTGTTTGTGTAAGAAGAAGGAATTTGTCATCACATGGCAACAACTACGACATTTTAATAATTGGCCTTCGAAGGAGCATAGCCTTTCATGGTACATCCCCATCTTATATCAGCTTTATGCTACTGTGTCTCGTATGGTAAGTGATGAGAACTGGAGGCTCATTCAAGGTTCGACAGCCTGATAATTAGGTCTTATTTTTTTTTGTAACTATTTAATTGCACCCACTAAAGATCAGCTTTATAATGCTCTGGCAGTGCATAAACTATACTGAGCTGGTTACCCTTTTAGTAACCATTTACTAGATTTTAAATGTACAACAATATGTAAGCAAATTGTAATAATGTGTTATTAAATAAGCTTATTTTCTTTCATCTTAATTTCATTAATTTCATTTCATTGAACATGTACAAATGTATGTCATGGATTGAAGGAGAAGAAATCACTAATCTTGTAATTATGAAGTCTACTGAAGTTTGGAATTGTAACGGACAATGTTTTAAGAAAATTGCATTTAAAATTCTTGTGTCAATGTCATACATTGCACAATACAATCACATAAAAAGTAAATGATAAAATAGTAAATGATAGTTGGTGCTGTACAATTTTCAATCCATAATAATATAAAGTGGAAACTTCAACAGTGTGTTTTTTTATTAATTACACTTTTACATAAAATCTTCATTATATATATAAGTTAAGCCTAGACAACTACCATGAAACAAGACTGTACAGCTATGGATAAATATTAGGATATATAAGTACATTACGCAGAGTGGTGGCGGCGTAAAGGAATCTACTAAGTAGTACTAGTACTATTATTTATTCTGTGGTAGTACCCCTTATCATAGGAGATGGACGGCAACATGATTGTGATAACAATTCAAAATAAAAAAAAACTGCGATTGCCAACCCGCCTGTCCGGTATCGTAACTATGACATATATATAAAAATAAGTTGAGTAATCCACGGAGAGGCATATTTTCAACAGTAGACTTTTGATGGGCTGTAATGAATAATAATATGAATGTATACGTACTTACATTGTTAAATAATAATAATGTCTTCCAGACCGAATTTAGTTCACGGCGGCCAGCCTCAACGGAGACTAGCCATCAGCACAGGACAGGATTATAGTGTCCAAGTGTAGTTATGCGCAAGCGTAGGTGCACTCTCTCGTAATTCGATGGGACGGTACACTGATCCAACCGGAGAGAGATCAGGCGCAGTGCCAATGGCTTTACGTGCTTTTCGAGGCACGGGGGTGAGACACCGCCAACTACCTGAGAATTTCTTGACGGAAAATGATAATCAATCACACTACCTAACGAGGCAGTAAACTAACATTGTTAAATACTTACTACCTGAACCCGGCAGCAAAATGCTAAAAAATAAAAATTAAGACTTATTGATATATTATTAAAATACTACATTACGTTATATTACTCAAAACTTGCAACACAATAACAACTTTCAACTAATGGACGCCACACACGGTCAGTTCAACTGATCATTCCAACTGATCGGTTCAAACTAAAACTGTTCATATTATATTTATATTGAATTTTCGATATATTGATAATTATAAATATATCAATATCGGAGTTTTATATATAAGTTTATTTACCGATATATCGAAAATCCAATATTTAAAAAATATCAACAGTTTTAGTTAGAACGGATCAGTTGGAACGATCAGTTGAACTGACCGTGTGTGGCGACCATAAGAGTGGCACAGGAGAATCCATCTCGCCTTATAACTTATTATCCATTAGTTGGAAGATTTATATAGTGGACATTAGGTTGATGTTGTCTTACAAGATATTTGGTGCTATGTAATAAAACATTACTTGTAACTAAAGGTTATAAGTGCATACGTGAGCGCAAGTACATGTTATTACAGTAAGTAGAGCATTGCGCATGGATTTCGCATTACTTGAAATATATAAACAAGTTCCGTATATCTTCTTTGTTGGTCTGAGTTTAAAAAGAAAAAAAATATTTGCTGTATATGTAATATAGCTGTGGACAAAGCGCTCGCCTTGAATTTGATTGCAATCCTCGCCGGTATCACTAAAATATTGTAATTGCATTTATTTTATTGCAACATGGTCATAGGCATGGCAAAATGTAGATACAAAATGGTTTTTCATATTTAACCGGGGCATTTTCTAGCAACCACTTCTAACTGCTTTTAGATTCTAATTGGCATTGATTTTAAAAAAATTTGCTTTTTAATTTCTTAGTGGCGACTTGCATATATGGTACCAGCATTACCTGGCAATCTTCCAACATAATGCAAAGGGCAAAGCCTCTGCAAACAATTTGATATAGGCAATGCCATTACCGTAAACGACCTACCCCAAATGACGAACTTTTATTCTTACGTACGTTAATTTGTTAGTGTCCGTAAACACATAGACTAATGAAGTTTTGCTTCTAAACATGTGTAATCAAAGTTTTATTTTTTACACAATCCTGGATGTTTGAACAAGTTGCCCTCAAAGGGTAGAAACTTTTATTACGGTATCCTATTATACATAAAATGTCTAGATTTGGTGTGGATAACTCTAGACGAAATTGGATACTATATTCTATTCTATAAACAATTATTTTAAAGCCATGTTAATATATTAAAATTAACCCTAGTCCGTTTCAATAAGCTATTATTAATTCGAATGATATCACATATATTATGTAAAAAATAAAATAAAAATTATTTGTCTTTCCTGAGTAGTTTGAAGACCTCTTTACTTCTTGGCTCTTTAAAGTAAGTAAGTAGGTAAGACCTATCATTACTATTTTATTTGATCTTAACCAATTTTAAACATAAGCGAATTATAGAGCGGTTCCCCACTAGATGGAGTGACGACCAGGTAAGATATACTTAGTCGGGAAAAATTTCATCATCGAGGAAAGCTATAATAAACAAAATTATAAGGAGTATACCCGCAGCAGTGAAGAAGCCAGCACGTTTTAACAGTTTGAACTGAATTTAGCGCTGCAGCAAATACCTTAGTCAGTTCACGGTGCACTCGCCCGCGCACGCCACCGGCTGTCATCAAGAAGTTTTTTGTTCAGAATCGTTTCTAGCACGTAGTACTTACAGCTCAATAGATGTTCATGCACTTTATTGCGCGTTTACAGATATAGCTTGCTTTCTCTGTATGGATGGCAGTTTGAGATCAAATAAGGGATTATAGGGGATAATCGATAAATTTGATAGGACTTCAATAATAATAGATCGATCCTGTGAATCGAATCTCGATTTTTAAGTGTCTGGATCGTGTGTCGTTTATATGCCATAGTTTTTCAAATTTGAAATTAAGTTTATTGTCTCATTTATTTCCTTCCTAAATACCGTGGCGGATTTACCAGCTTAGTAGGCTAGAGCCTAGGGCGGCAGATTTTTGGGGCGGCAAATTTGAGGCAACATTTTTATTATATCTTACAGAAATTAAAGATATTCAAATTTTAAAAGGATAGCTTAAGAAATATTTTCATCTTTTATCTCGGAACTTTAAAACACTTTTTCGTTCCTTGCTCTGCCCACTCTTTAGATTTAGTGGCAACTGCGGTTGCTGAATGTTGCACAGAAGCTGCTTTAAAAATCTACATTTTTGTTGGAAGTTCAACAAAACGCTGGCAAAAAAAATAATGACTTAAATCGAGAAAGGGAAAACGCTAAAAAGAGTAGATCTGACACATTAGTCAGAAGTCCTTAAAACTTTGGAATCCATCAAGGATGATATAATAATACCAAAAGCATGTTACGCCAAAATAAAGCGACGGGAATACTTTTGAATTCAAAAAAATTTAAAATGGCGGTAATGGTTGTTGTGTGGAATGTTAAAGTAATAATATAAATTTAAATATAAATGTTAGCATACTTTAATCATTTATATTGTTGTAACTAACATTGTGGGTGATTAATTATTTTCATACTATAAGTTTGCGGGTACATCAATGTTTTAGATTATTCTAGTTATTCATTTTTGCTTATATTTGTAACTAGAATGTAGCACTGTTTATTATAATTAAAAGAAATATAAATAACGTTTTATAATGTAAAAACTTACGGCTTAATATCCAATTTTATTAAAACTTGTAACAGAAACCACACAAGCAACGCCATCTGTAGTTTAGCACTGTTAAATTACAAGCCTATAAAAGACAGATGTCGTCGGCTTGGGATGCGCTCCCGACAATTCAGTAGCTCCCGACAATTCAGCAATTCTTAAAATCACTCTCTGAGAACTTCTTCAAAGCCTCAGAGTCCCTCCCCCCCCAAATCACCTCATTCGCGAGGCAGCTGCCTACGCAGCCCCACTTACCACTCGCTATAGTGTTCGCAGGCCGAGAAACTCTCTCTC